CATTTGTTTCTCATTATTGTAAAATGAGAATGAAAAATATAGTTGTTATTGGGCCTCACACAAGAAATAAAAATTTAAAATCTATGGCTTGATGTGATAGATAACGGTCATATTTTTCATTTTAATGAGATAAAAAAGTGGTCCAAACGGGGGCTATATATTCATCTCATACTACTTCACTCATTTTAACGACTTTTTTTTTTTTACAAAATCTTATTAATGTTCAGTGAAAAATTAATAAAAAATGTAAAAGTTGAACCCACTTTGTCAGACTTTAATTTGCCTTTATTGGACTGTTGGAAACTGATTGGACGCATTTACCCTCACCTAAGTAAAATGTCAAGGGCAATTTTGAAAAATGAGGTGAATTATGCTTGCGTTTGACATACATTTCGGGGAAAGAATAAATTTTGGAATAGTGATTGATAGAAGAATGTGTGGTTAAAATGTAATAAGAATTTTTGGATTTATGTATAATATTATTTTATTAATAGAACGTGTGATTAAAATGAAGAAAGAAAAAAAAGAATGAGAAATAGAATGGGTGCCAAACATGGACTATATGTGGAACATTCCATAAAAAAGTCAACAGATGGCAGTTGTCTTGGTCAGAACGGTGCAACAATTTCAAATGTTGAGACCGCAAATTAGGAAAATGGGAATGGAAAAATTACTATTTTCTTTCGCGTCACATTTCAAAATTCTCCATATTGAAATTCATTCATTTAAACGCCGTAGATCTATGCAAATTTTGTATATTCATCCACTCAAAATACGTTATTACTACAATTTCAATATTTTTTGAAAAATCGTTATATTCATCTATGTAGCATATGACATCAAGATGGTATTCTCGTGTGTTAGAACATCTAATTAAAAAAAATGAGATCTAATTAGCTGTCGATTTGAAATAAGAGAAATGTTGAATGCATCTTGTATGTGTTTCTTTTTGTGAATGCAGAAAAGGGTTAATTTAGTTTATTAGTCACATGTTTGAGTCACATTATTTTTCTCATTCTCATTTTCAACCACACATTTTTCAATAAAATAATATTTTTCATCACATCAATAATTTTTCCTTCTTTTTCAATTACATATTTCCCATCACATCAACAACAAAATACATTTTTACTCCCAAAATGTGCACAAACGGGGGCTTAATGTCGTAGACGGATCAAACAGGAAAGCTGGAACCTAAAGTTGGAGAATCTCTTTTGGAGATGGCCGATGACTTTTTTGATTCAGTAAAGCTGGCAAATGCATGGCTAATAATATATTATTAATCACTTAAATATATTATCCCCCATTGTAAAGTTGAACAATTGAGGCATGTGAATTATTTACC